AAAAAAAAAAAAAAAATCAAGTGATAGAAAAGTTATAGCCTATGTATACGTTATTTCAAGAAAAACTCATTTGTGTGTGAAGTGTCACAAAATATTTTGTACATCTAGGGAAAAGCACTGACCCTGGTTTGGACTCGCGCGTGTATCTTTGTCACTTTCAGACAGACTGTGTGCAGAGCTAGGCTGATGCCTGGGACTCCAGAACTGTGCAGCACCAGCTTTGTTGTCTCTGTGCTTTTGTGTCAGAGTAGTAAGTAGAAGGTAGGAAGAAGTCAGGAAGAAGCCAGGCATGGGGGTGCACATCTGTAATCTCTTTACTCTGGAAGGCTGAGGCAGGAGAGCCGAAAGTTCAAGCCCAGACTGGGCAGCTTAGCTAGACTTTCTCAAAACAAGAAACAAGAAAAAAGACTGGGGATGTCATTCGGTGCAGAGGCCCTGAGTTCAATCCCCAGTGTTTCCCTCCACCCCGCAAAAAAGTTAGGAAGAGGTCGGGAGAGAACTTGTGGTCCCCGCTTGGCCAACAGTGTCGTGACAGCCTAGCCAGGGCCCTGTGAGATGGACACATGATGTCTCCAGAGGCCTTGCCGGGAGGTCCCTGCTCCTGTGGGGACCTCACTGTCTGCGTAGTTCTTCGTGACGAGGGTGCTCAGAGGTAACTGAAACTCATCCTGTTTTTATAAAATTTAAGCCTTTAGGTTTTCTCTTTTCTTTGTTACTTCTGTATTCTTCTCTTTGTTAACCCAGCAGAGTTGTGCCATATTAGTGTGATTCTATGTAAGTATGCGAGATCTGCCAAAAAAGTGTCCACACTTCAGCAGTTCGCTGAACTAATAAGTATCGGGGGGAGGGAATGGCCACCACTTTGAGCACCTCTTGTAATTGTAGAGGCCAGAGGTAACTTGTATTAATCTCATGATGTCTCAATACGTTTAGTGTTAAAATAGTTAGATAAGTTTTCCTTTTCCTGGTATATACGTTTTTTTAGTGAAATCTGTAATTTTCTTTCCTGAAAAGCATCTTAGCTGGGTCTGAGTACAGAATTGTCACCACCATTATTTTGGGCAAGTGACAGCTTGATGCACAGTAAGCTTGCTGTACCTTATTCTGGTGCCAGTCCTGGGAGCTAGGGAGGGATAAGGGATTTCACTGTATGTGGCGTAGACCTTCAGCTTTTCAGATTGCTTGTACACTATATAGTCTTGGTTTTGCAGGTCTGGAGTAAATTTTACTTTTATTTAAGTAGGCTACAGTTTATATTTTTTGTCTTTTGAGTGTTTAGGAGTCTGATCCTTAATTCAAAGAGCAATGGTGCTATTTTTTATATCACTTAGCAGATGAGTTTTCTACTTATTTTAGATGGAGTCTCTGAACCTCAGTATCTTAGGCAGCAGATTTGTTTGTGCTGTGCACTTTATTTCTAGCTTGATTATTTTATGTTCCACTTTTAGAATATGCTATTTACTTTGTAGTACTGACCATGATAGTTACAGTTTTCTCATTTTATAAGTAAGGAAACTGAGGCTCAGGGGATTATGTCCTTTGTCCAGGGTTCTGTTATTTAGTATCACTGCCTGGGCTTGAACCCAGATTTTCTTGGAGTTGTTTCTGCATCTTTTTTTTTTTTTTTTTGGTACTGGGACTCAAACTCATGACCTTGCGCTTGCCAAGGCGGGTGCTGTGCCAGGCAGGTGCTGTGCCACTGAGCTATATCCCCAACCCAAACCCAGATTTTCTTACTGTAAGTCCTGGGTTGTTATCATTCCTATCTAAGTATATTGGTTGTCTGTTGCTGTGTAACAAACCCTAACCTGGTGGTTTAAAACAAGTGGTCTGCTGGGCGTGGTGACGCACGCTTGTAATCCCAGCACTCGGGAGGCTGAGGCAAGAGGATCGTTGCGAGTTTAAGACCAGCCTGGGCCACAAAGCTCAAGGCCAACCTGAACTGCATAGCGAGACCCTGTCTCAAAAAGACAAAAAACAAAAACAAAAACAAGTGGTCTGCCAGGGATATGGCTCAGTGGCATAAGCGCCTGCCTGGCAGGCACAAGGCTCTGAGTTTGATTCCTGGTACCAAAAAAAATAGTTTGCTAAAACAAGTGGTCACCATCTCATAGTTCTTGTGGTTTGGGAATCCAGGCAATGCTTAGGATGAATAGTTTTGCCGTAGGGTCTCTGGCAGAGCCACGGTCAAAGTGCTAACCGGGGCTGCTGGGGCTGGAGAACTGCTTTCAAGGTCACTTACTGGTGATTGGCAGTCCTTCATTCTTCACCAACTGAGTCTCTCCTTGGAGCTGCTTAAAATGGCAGCTGGCTTCTTCCACAGCAAGTGATCCAAGAGAGACGGAAGAGGAGAGTGAGAGCCCAGGACGAAGCCATTGTCTCCTTCATCACCTAGTCCCGAGTGACACACTGCTTCTTGTGGTCGCATGGGCCTCTCTGATGAAACAGTGCAGGGAGCTGGGTCCTAATGGGAGGTGTTCGGGTAAGGAAGGTGTCACCCTCAGGATGGATTAATGCTGATTGTAAGAGCACTCGAGGTTGTGAATCCAGTCACTTGTGCCCGTTCTCCCTCTCCTCTCTCTCCCTCACGTGTGCATCTGCATGCATCTGTGTGTGCTCACGCCCTTGCCTTCCACCTCCCGCTACGGGTGATGCATACGAGGACCTTGCCAGTTGCTGCCACCTTGATATCAGACCTCACGGTTTGTAGAAGTATGAGAAACACATTTCTCTGTAAGCTGCCCAGTCTGGGCTATTCTGTATAGCAACACAGAACAGACTGAACGAAGAATTTGAATACCGGCAGGATCATTGGGGACCATCTTGTAGGCTGATCTCACAGCTGCATGGCTAGTGAGTCGAGTAGCCAAGATGCACACTCATTTCTGTCAGACCTCAGAGTGCCTGTGCTGACGGCACAGCAGCGACTTTGCATTTGACCTGAGCCACAGAAGAGCACTGGGTTTTCTAGGCAGAGGGGTGGGGGAGGAGCTTGCTCAGTAGGGGACCAGCACGAGTATGTTGGGGGTTAGAAGCTGAGAAATGCGCTAGAAGTAATGCTGTATCTAGTACTTAACGTGGAGTCACAAGTGTGTGTCTCTCATCACCTTCACCCTTGGCAGACCTTTTGCATTGCCCTGTTCCCTTCCGGGCTGTTCCCACCCGCTCCCTCGTGGAATGCCTGTGGTCGGGGAGAGGAAGGTAATGAGGCATCAGATTGACAGAGGTGGGCACAAGGTCCCTCCTTCCGGCTGAGTTCACTTCTTCATTACTACCCATGGGGACATTTCCAGGTCTGTCCTCCCCGACTGCCAAGTTCCCTTCTAGTTTTTGGTATCTGGAGCAACCAGTTCTTTCTAGGTGCTCTGGCCGGGCAGCAGGCCAGGGTGCTGCTCTGACTTGTCATTGTGTGCAGCCTTTTCCAGCAGCACCCAGCGGAATGAGAGATTGAAAGCAAACTGAGTTTCTCCATTTCAGATGTTTATGATCCTCCTGGTTAAACAAGAATAAATACGGAAAGACTTCGTGCTCGAGGCAGAATGTAGGCCAGCAGGGAAACAGTTTCCTATCCGTATGAATGCTATGGGTAAAGTCATGATGAGGGGAGATGTTCATGGGGAACAGAAAGAGAAGTCTTGCTGGGAACAGGAAGTGGTGGGAAAACCCAACCATTTCATTTCCGCTCCTGGCTGTGCTCCTTGGTTCTTGTTGCCGTTCCCACTGCTGCCGCAGAGCTTGGGAGTGAGAACTGAACTCCAGGGAGAATGAGTTCTTCTTATGTTACTCTTACATGGAAAACTTAGGCTCTTCCTAAGTCCGATACTCCTAAACCTGTGGGCAGTTGGTGGAAGAGAGCTACAGGTTTTGGTGGGTCCTACAAGATTCCAGAAAAAAGTGGGACCATTTGTGTTGACAGGAAACCACTATGTACAGATAAGACCTTCCACCCACCCAAAGTAGGCATTTGGAGTCATTGCAGCAGTGGTTTTTTTTTTTGTTGTTGTTTTTTGCCATGCTGGGGAGTAAACCCAGGGCCTCATACACAGTAGGCATATTTACCATTGCGCTTCATCTCTAGCCTTTTAAAATTTTTATTATTATTATTATTTTGTCTTTTTTGAGACAGGATCTTACTGTGCAGCTCAGGCTGGCCTTGAGCTCACTTCATACCCCAGGTCCAGCCTTTTTTATACTTAAAAAATTTTTTTTATTTTAAAGAGTAAAAGAAGGACAACATAGCAATAGGGGGAATTCACCGATTTACAGACAAAGTGGTAGGACATCTTTTTTAAAATAATTATTTTGAGATAGGTTGTTGCTAAGTTGCCTAGGCTGGCCTCAAACTTAAAATCCTCCTGCCTTAGCCTCCTGAGTTGCTGGGATTACAGGCATGGGCTACCACATCTGGCTCCACCTGTGTATATTTTTAAGAACATAACAGTTATTAAAGTTTTCCTTCTGCTTGGTAAGTTGTGTAAGTTGTTGAGACCCCAGGCTAGGGATTGCTCCTGTTGGGTGAGTGAAGCCAGAAACAGAGCCTAGGAGCAAAGCTGGCATGTGCGTGGGCAGCCTTTGAGAGAAGCACTGAGGCAGCTGGCAGGGGTGGGGGGTATGGGAGCGCCTCGCTGAGGCTCCAGTGCTATGGGGCGATGTCAGCGGGAGGCAAGGTGTAGCTGGTCCAGACCGGGCCCTGCAAGAGGAGCCGCAGTGTACTGTCGGTGGGAGGCTGTGTGTGACAACATTAGTGCTCTTGTAGCTGCAGTCAGGCGTTTGCACCAGGGACAGCTGCCTGTCAGTTCCATGGGGAAGTTGATAGAAACCGGAGTATCTCCTGGCTTGTGACAGCTGTATCAAACAAGAGATCGTGCCACAGTTTCTAAAAATCAACAAGTGATTTATTTGGAAAGTATTTTAATGATTTATTGGAATTTATACCACTAGGTAAGCAGTTTTGGTGGTACAAGCTAGTAGAGAGAATAAAAGAATTATTTAAAAAATTTTGATGTGTGTATTGATTTATGTGTTGCTTTATATTCCTGTATGGCTGTACACTATTTTAATATCACTGTGGAGAATACTGAAGTCTCTTTTAAGAGACCTGTTACCTAGTCATCTCACTAAATCCTGAGGTGCTCCTGCAAGACCACTTGGAACTGTAGTGTGGTGGAGATGAACCTACGGCACGCGTGCCACAGCGGGCTGTTCGTTATCACTGAAAGCTCTAAAAGGTTCGCTATCGCTGCTGTAGGGCATGAGAAGCACGCAGAGACGTGGATGATGGGGCAAGCAGAAGAGGTTCCAAGGTGGCCAATGCAGGCTTCTTAATTGGAGTGTTCTGAAAACTTCCAGAGAAGAATTTCAGCACCTTTCAGCTTACATATTTAGTCCACTTGGGTGTGGTATGTTGTAAGGCACTGTATCCCCTCTGGCTGGTATCTTTGATCCTGACCTCTCAGAGTGGATTAGTAGTGTTTTTTCTGTTTTCTTTTTCCCCTAAGAGGGGCAAGAAAATAGCTGTCCCTGATGTAGCTTGATTATGAACTGTCAGATTGACACCCACAGTGAACATAGTCTCCGTTGAAGTAAGTGGGGCATCAGGATGCCTTTGTCTCAGATTAAACCACAGAACTTGAGAATCTCAACCCTGCCTTAGGAAGTGTCTTGTGTTTGAAGTTGCCATTCAGCTGAATTGCACTTGGGCATGTTAGAAAGTTACATAAATCTAACAAAGTGGAGAAGAGCTCGCTTCTATTTTTGCCTTCTCTGCCTTTCTTTCATGTCAGAAAAGCTTCAGAAGAGTCTCTTTCACTTGTCTGAAACTAGCAGGCTACCTGGGTCCAGTCTTCCAGGAATTTTATAACTCAGTTGTACTAAGGTTTAAGTGCTGGCTCAGTCATTGTTAAATGAATGGATAAAGAAGGTAGGTCTAGCCACGTGTAGTGCTATCACCTCTGGGATGCTTCGGCAGGATTACAAATTTGAACCCAGCCTGGAAGACCCTGTTAGGAAGACCCTGTATCAAAATAAAAATAAATACTAGAGATGTAGCCCCAAAGGCCCTAGGTTCAATCTCCAATACTAAAACATATTTAAAAAAAAAAAAGATTTTTAGAGTCAGGTAAGGTGGTGGATACCTGTAATCTCAGCTCTCAGGAGGCTGAGGCAGCAAGATTGCCAAGAGTTCAAGGTCAGCCTGGGCTACGTAGTGAGACCCTGTCACACACAAAGGAAGATTTTTATTTTTAGGAAGTAAATTTTATTAGTCTTTTCCTCTCTAATTTCATCTGTGGTTACTTAACTTTTTTTGTTGTTCCAGTACCAGGAATCGACCCCACGACCTCGCGCTTGCCAGGCAGGTGCTGTGCCGCCGAGCTAAATCCCCAGCACCCCATCTGTGGTTACTTAAGCTTTCTTTTAAAAATTGTTTTAAACTTTATTGTATATTGATACATTATAAATGTATATAACAGTGGGGTGCAAAGTAACGTTATAGTCTTTTTTGTTGTTGTTGTTCTTTTGAGACGGTCTCGATATGCAGTTCAGACTGGCCTTGAGCTCACTTTGTAGCCCAGGCTGGCCTTGAACTCTCAAGGACCCTCCTGCCTCAGCCTCCCAAGTGCTGGGATTACAGGCGTGCGCCACCATGCCCAGTATGTTAGTCTTTGACTATGATAAACTTTCAAAATCCTTAAAGATGAAAGATATATTTTTTGCTAGCTTTATAATTTTAAAAAATTTCATTTGTTTTAACCTCAACTCACTAACCAGTTGTTTTTTGTTTTCTTTTGGTACCAGAAATTGAACTTGGGACCTTGCACTTGCCAGGCAGGTGCTGTGCGGCTGAGCTATATTCCCAGCCCGGTAACCAGTAATTTGGAAATATCCTAAAAACCAAATGTGTTGCTTGGCTGAGGCTGTGGCTCAGTGGTGGGGTGTGTACCTAGCACGTGCGAAGCCCGTGTTTAGTCCTCAGTAGCACAGAGAGGCAAAGGGGTGTGAGTAACTCTATTCCAGTGGTCTACAGCAGCACTGTCCGATAGAACTCTTCGTGATAGAAGGGCTGGTAGAAGGATCGCCAGCCTGGGCAACTTGATGAGACCCTGTCTCAAAATAAAAATACAGAAAGGGTTGGGATGTAGTTCAGTGTTAGAGTATTTGCCTAGCATGTTCCAGGCCTTGGGTTCAGTCTCCAGTATGGCAAAATAAAACCAAAGAGAAGTTCTGGGTTGAACCCAGAGCCTTCTCACTGTGCTCTACCCTCCTTTAAATTCTTCTTTCAATTCTGAGACAGGGTCTCACTGAGTCACCAAGTTGCCCAGGCTGGACTTAAATTTGTGGTCCTCCTGCCTCAGCCTCCCAGCATTCTGGGAATACAGGTATCCACCATCATACGAAGCTTAATTTAGCTGTTATTATAAATAAAATTCAAGTTAGTTAAAATACAAATCAAATTTTACCTTAAAGTTTAATTCAAAATTTGATTACGTTTAGCTAGGTGTGTTGGCACATGCCTGTACTTGGTTGGCTGAGGCAAGAGAATTGCAAGTTTGAGGCCAGCCTGGGCTATAAAGTGAGTTCAAGGCCAGCTTGACCTACATAATGAAACCTTGTCTCAAAATGGCCCCCCCCATTAATTACATTTAATTAAATGTGAACCTTTGAGACCTAAGGTCTTTAATACTTTTCCATGCTATGCCAATCACTTTCATTGGCATAATTGAGATACATCCTTCCTCCCAGTAATGATTCTTAAGGGAAAGGTATTAGGGGTGTTTAACAGAGTATGAACTTCTAAGTGGTTGCAGCCCTCTTTTCCCATTGACAGATTTTGTGTGTGTGTGTGTGTGAGACACACGCACACGCACACACACGCACACATACACACATAGTGAGATTTATTCATGAGAAGAGCTGAAGGTGTTCTCTTCTTTTGCATGTTTGGTTGTTTGTTTATTAGTTTTTTGAAACAAGGTCTCACTGTATTTCAGGCTGACTTCAAGCTCGTGGTGATTCTTCTGCCTCAGGCTCCTCAGTGCTGAGATTATAGGCTTTATAGACACCATCATGCCCAGCTTTGTATGTGTACATATTTATATCTAGTGTCTTTTGTTGTCGTAGGAAACAAACCTGCCTTACTAAAGAAAAGGGGTATCTGAGCTGGGAGTGGTGGCACACACTTGTAATTCCAGCATTCTGGGAGGCTGAGGCAGGAGGTTTGAAAGTTGAGCAACTTAGTGAGACCCTGTCTCAAAATAAAAAATAAAAAAGGGCTGGGAAGGTTGGTCAGTGTGAAGGTCCTAAATTTAGTCCCCAGTGCTGCTAACGTGTGAATGAGTGAATGGTGGCGGTGGTGGAGTCATTGTACTCAGGGGCTTACCCCATTTTCCTTTCGTGTGACAGACGCTGTATTCAGGTGGTGCATAAACTGCTCTGCTATCAGAAGAAGTGTCGTGTTCGGCTGCACTACACCTGGCGGGAGCTCTGGTCAGGTAACTTCTCTTGGATTCATCTTTCCATGCTGCTTTAATGTGCACCTAGGCCTGGGCTCAAGGCAGACTGTTTTCCCCCAGACCTTGGAATTTGTGTCTCTTCTTTTCTTTCTTCCCTCCCTTCCCCTTCTCTTCTCCCCACCTCTCCTCCCCCGCCTCTCTCTTTGTCTCTGTCTCTCTCTTGCATTTTAGCCTATTTTGGGCCAGACCTAGAGTATTCACACTTGTGAATACTCACTAATTTATTTGCACTATTGGGGATTCAGTTTAAGACCTTCATCTCACATATCCATTCCACACTTTCTCTCCTGTTCCTTCTTGTATTTATTTTTTCTTTGCTTGTGTGAGCGTTGTGTGTGCACACATGTCTGTGTGTGTGCGCACATGTCTCTGTGCATGTGTGTGCGCATGTCTATACATGTGTGCGCATGTCTATACATGTGTGCGTGTGTGTTGGTAGAACAGTTGAGTATTTCTGGAGTTCGTGTGTTTCTTCCTCTGTGTAAGACTGAGCCAGGAGTCTGTACACACGTGGACTCTTCCTCTGCTCCGTCTGGGAGCAGTACATGGCCTGCAGGGAAGGCCCTGCGTTCCCTCAGCTGAGTGGCTTGGGAGGAGTGTCATAGGCTGGGGGGTCCTGTTCTTCGCGTTCCCTCTGGCATTATTGCTTTTCACAGATGGTACTGATTGTTCCGCTCCCACTGCACACTAGAGGCAAAACAGCAAATGACAGTGTTTATTCTGTCTTTGTATCCATTGGGTGGTCCAGGGAAGGCACTGCCACCCGTGCAGGCGGGAAGCAGTCTTCTCTAAGGTACAGTTAGTGCTGGCTTGCCGCGCCTTGCTTATGTCTGACCGAATGGCGGCTGGGAGAACAGAGGGGACGTCTGAGGCAGCTGCTCCCTGACGGGCCGTGCTTTGGGGCCTGACGCACAGCAGCCTCCTGACGGGTGCAGGGTGAGTGGATGCCGCGCCCAGCGTGGCCAGGGAGGCTGTGTCAGTGTCAGAGGCTTTAGAGGAAACCGGCCAGGAGCCCAGCCCCTTCCGTGGAATTCATCTGGAATTCCTCCCGCTTGTTGTGACACATGGTTTCCTCCCAACCCAATTTGGCTTTCTAAATTTAGTCTTCCTTAATGGGAAGTAGCAATCTGTAATTAATGGATTAGAAAGTTTTTTGCAGTTACTGCCTGTGGTGGTGAAGAAGGAGTAAGAGTCAGGCTAATTGGCAGTAGAGGCATTGGGTATTTTAGGAGAGAGGAGTGTGGTCATGTGAGTTTGAAGCTGAGGGATGTCAGATGGGCTGCAGAGAGATTGCAAGAAACCGCAGTGACTAAAGTTAGTAGAATTCCTTAGGCAGTGACAATTCTTTTTGATATAAAGGGCTCCCGTTGGTGCCTATGGGTAGTAGTAGGACTGTGGGGCTGTACAAGTCTAGGATTAAGGTGACAGCACAAGATGGTGCAGTCTGTGTATTTGGCACAGCCGTAGACCTAGAACAAGTGCAAGTGGTTCAGTCGGTAATGGGGTAGAGTACATTGTAGTGCTCAGCACTTGGAAGTAGTTGCTTTTCCCTGCTGCTTCTGGTTCGTTCTGGTTTTATTTTCTTTTTGTTCTGTTTTCTGTGTCCTCACTATCCTAACTCTGGCCTTGTGCTCTCTCGGGCTTTTCTCCCGTCCCCTTTGTCCATTGTCTTCTCCCTCAGGGTCCCGTTCTGTCAGTCTTTCCACAGTGCCCTCCGCTGCCCTGGTCTGTCTCGCTGAGCTCGGACACTTCTCCTGCCTTCATCCTGCATGCCCTTTCCTTTGCATGAATTGGCCCTGTTATCACTGTGAGCTGTCTCTCCCCTCCTTTGTGCTGCTGTTGTCATACATTTTGTTTTCACACATTTCATAAATCCCAGAATGAATTGCTGTCTTTTTTTTGGCATTGCTTGGAATCAAACCCAGGGCCTTGCACCTGGTAGGCAAGTGCTCTACATGGAGCAGCATCCCTAGCCCCACTGTTACCATTTTTGCTAAAACAAATGATTATGATTTAGATTTAATTTTTGTGGGTATGTGTGGTACTAGTTGTTGATCTCAAGGCCTTCATACTGCACTATTTCTCCAGCCTTTAAAAACTTTAATTTTCAGTTTTTACTTTTTAGACAAAGTCTTGCTAAGTCACCAGCTTCCCCCCAGGCTGTGTTTCAACTTTAGATTTATCTGTGTCAGCCTCCCAGAGTGCGGGGATTACAGGCGTGTGCCACTTGCCCAGCTAAAAATGTCTTTTTCCCCTGACTCTTTGTATTTTGCCATGCTGGCTAGTAGCTTGTGAAGGAGAGTGTTCTTTATCCTGTGTTGGCCGGTTGGCTTTATGTCTTGAGAACTTGTTCCACTATGTCACTGTGTGTTGCTCTGGACTGACTGGATAGCATTCCAAAGACCCTGACAGGTTGAGGGTAGCGGTACAGGAGTGTCTCCACTGAGACATGGGCAACTGCTTGTTTCTCAGGCGTGGACGCGCGTAGTAGAGTTCTCTGCCAAGCGAGGTTCGCTTCTCTTCCCACACTGAGTGAGCCCTTCTGCAGCCCTGGTCCATGTGTCTGTACATGGGGTGTACAGAGAGATGAAGAGCAGCAGGTGTTAAGGAAACTGCAAAATACAGCACCACAGCCAGTGTGCTGGGGCGCACGAGAGTGTGTACTCCCGCGTTCCGTGAGCACAAGTTGGGCTGTAGCGATCCACCTACTCCTTGGCTGCTGCTGCCCCTCGCCTGCCGGAACGCCCATGTTTTCCGTCTTTTCCTGGTAGAGTTATAGGACTGAGGGGGGCGTGTGAGACTCCTCGTGGCAAGTGTGCTTGTTTGGGTATGTGCTGGCCCATTCATGTGCTGCAGCCCTCACTGACGTTTGTTTATAAATTAGACATGTGGGCTTAGGCCGGACCACTGGGAGTCTCGGGACTGAGAAGCAGGTGGCTAGGATCCGAATGCCTGTTGTCACTGGCCACGAGGGCTTTGGTGACACCGTGCTGTGAGTGTTGATTTTTATCCCGGTGCTATGTGGCTACCGTGACTCATGGTTACTGGGACGGAAGCCAGCAGCTCTGCCAGTGGCGACTCCCCGGTAGTGGTCCGGGGAAGAGGAGGCGGCTGGACCAGCTGGGGACTCACTGCTCCCTCGTCACTTTTCCTGCTGTGGCCCTGACCCAGTCCTCACCGCCACATGTACACAAGGCCCTCGGCATGGTGTCTGAGTGCGTGTGGAAACACATTTAGGCCAGTTTCAACTACAGTGTGGAGAGGAGGAGGAAGGAGGAGGCCTGCTTGTCAGTGTGACCCTTGTCTCCCACTTGTTGTTTCTGAGACCTTGCCATGCAGTCTAGGCTGGCCTTGAGCTCCCCGTGATCCTCCTGCCTCAGCCTCCAGAGTGCTGGGATTATAGGCACCACCACACCTGGCTCTATTATTCTTCTCTTAGCAATTTTTTTTTTTTTTTGCAGTACTGGTTGTTGAACCCAGGGCCTTGCAAAAGCTGGGCAAATACCTACCACTGAGCTCTCCCACCCCTTTCTCTTGGTTTTTTGAGATATACTCTCCCTATGTAGGTTAGTTCAGACTGGCCTTGAACTTACTATGTAGCCCAGCCTGGCCTCAAACTTGGAGAGATTCTCCTGCCTCATTCTCTCAAGTGTTGGGATTACACGTGTGTGCCACCACACTTGACCTCAGCTTTTTTTAAAGTTTTTTATTTTGAAACAGGGTTTTGCTATGGTGCCCAGGTCAACCTTGAACTTGTGATCCTCCTGCCTCAGCCTCCCAAGTAAGTGGGATTACAGACATGTGCCAGCAGAGCTAGCAGAGTACATGACTTTTAATAGAGATTAAGAAAATATATGAATGAATAAATAAACAGATGAATGTTTCCATTAGTAATTTCCATTAGTAATAAATTAGCATTCACCTAAAGCAGTACAACGTTGCTTTTGGGCCTCAAAATAATAATTAATAATAATAATAATAATAATAATAATAATAAGCCTGATAAGATGGCTGTTACGTTTCTGATGAGCTGACTTCCCTTTGATAGGCCCAGCCACTCAAGTTAGCTGTATTTGAATTGCTGATGTGGAAGGAAGTCAAAGGTCCTTCTCTTGCCCTATCTCTTCTTCCTTCCTGCGGAGGCATGGAGTGCCTTTGACCAAGTAAAAACGGAAACTGTGATGGTTTCTAAGAGCAGAATATTTAGAAACAGCAGTTGTTGGAAAGGGAGCTATCTGAATAGAGCTGAATGAAATCAGCTTATTTTACTTCTACTGTGAGGGAAGGCAGGGGGCATTGGGGAACCAGCGTGCATTTAAGTAATGTGGCTTTGACAGTCTGAAAACATGAATTGTTTTTTTTGGTACCAGGAATTGAACTTGCAACATCATGCTTGCTAGGCAGGCACTGTGCCACTGAGCTAAATCCCCAGCCCAATATGAGTTGATTTAAAGGCAGATTAATACTGGCATTATTATTTGCTGTTCATCTGTCGATCACAGGCCGTTTTACTCTTTCACTCTGACATATCCCTGGATGATAAATCATCATTTTCTGTCCATGTCGGGGAAGGGAGAAGACCGCTGAAGGTTTAAATGACTTAATAAGCATCATGAAACCAGAGGCCAGTCACGATTAAACTTCACTCCTGTGCTCAGACACAGATCACTTCACTAGGCATCATTCGCCTCCTCACAGGAAGATTGGCCCCGAAAGCCCCCTAAACAGTCTACTCAGCTTCACTGTGCTAGACTCATCCAGGTGTTCTCAGCTTTGTGAAAAAGAAAGAAATTGTACGTGGCCTGACCTTTTAGACACCTATGGGGAGGAGTGGAAAACCCAGAGAGGCTCACAGCTGCCCGGATCCAGCTGCCTCTCCTGTCACTGGTAGAAGCCTGTGCCTTCATGGTTAGGTGCACTTTGAGGCTAGGAATTGAGAACTGTTTTGTTCCAAGCTGGTAATATGGTAGATGTCATAT